CTCACACGACCATACAATTGCTAGAAGTTCTAATTCGTTAGTGCTGTATTTCTTCTCCTGATCATTTAGAAAGCGTGACGCAAAAGCAATTGGGACCCAAACATCCGCTTCGATCTCTTGTCTAATGCAGCACCCAGACCACTATGACTAGCGTCGCATTTCACCCGCGAGTTCCGACTTTGGGCATAATGGTACATCTTTGTGATGTTCGCTATCAATTGTAATATGTTACTGAACGCGGTCTGTTGGCATTCCACCCACACGAATTTACTTTTATTACTCGCTTTCAAGGATGGGCGTAATTGGTCTGAATGGACCTGAATATTCGGCAAAAATCGTTGTAGATGGTTGAGTATGCCCATGAACGAACGGAGCTGCTTAAGCGTCCTTGGAGGTTCCAGAGCTAGAACTGCCTCTATCTTAGAACGTTTTGGTCTGTATTATCTGAAACAATATCATATCCTAACCAAGATAATTGATTCAAAGAAAAGTCGCATTTCGAGAGTTTCAGAGCAAAACCTTCTTCATCCAGACGACTTATCACCTTATCTACAAGAATGTTGTGATCCTCGACTGAACCCTTCGATACAATCAGAATATCGTCCAGGAAACAGAATACTCCTGACAAACCCTGGAGGGTATTATCCATCGCTTTTTGGAATTCCTTTGGCATGTCCGTGAGTCCATAAAACCCCGTTTTGAGCCGATACGTACCAGTTTGTTCTCCACAGACGATATTAAAATTGCAATGACGGCTAACTTCCTCACTAAGCGGAATCTGACTGAATGCGTATTTTGAATCTAAGGACGTAAACCAAACATCTCCTGAAGTGTCCGATGTTATTATCTGGGCGGCCGAATCCAACAGTTCCAACAAATTCGGCATTTGGTAATGGTTCTTATGAATTTGATCATTCATAGGTTTAGCATCCATAGCTAATTTCACAGAACCATCTTTCTTAGCCGTAATAACGATCGGAGAAATGAAATGCTCACTGGTACATTTATTCAGTTTAACCACGTGTCCTTCATGAATGAGCTTTTGAATTTCTTGACCAACTTTATGTTGAATATGCACCGGTACTCTCCTTCCCTTTTCTTGAATTGGAACGAGTGGAGACTTGAAAGTAGAGAATACTTTGTGGTTTTTGGCTTTGCCGACTCTATTGAATACACGGTGAAATTTCTGGTGGAAGTGAGTTTTCCAGGAATCCGACGTTAAATTCAGGTTTGATTGGGAGAATTCTCCCCCCAAAGGACGATCTGGTCTAACTTGCTTAGTTCTTACTCCCAAATGGGATTGCAAATCTAAACCCAGTAAACAGCGTGTACGATTTTCTGAAATAAGGAATTTCGCAGACTTGATATGCCAACCCAAGGATGATACATCCATAATTAACGTACCCATCAATTCAATTTTCTTCCTATTATAATCAACATATACTGTATCGAAGGACTTTCTTGAACCGTGAAGATCTTGGCTGAAGGAACAGTTTTCAGTATATAGTCTGCTGTCTTCTTATTCACGAAAGAAGCTGGGCTTCCAGTATGCACTGTTGCCTTAAAAAACGTCTTGCCACAACGTAGTGTTATTTGGATAGAACGTAACTTGCCCGTGGCGGCATTGACCACCTCCAACTTTTTTACTGACTTAATTAGAAGACTTGGTTTCGCTGCTGCTACAGATAAAACTGCGAATTCCGACTCACTATCGGACGTGATGAAATTGCAGTTTTCTTCTACTGTCTCATCTGATTCAGCTTCTACGTTCGCTACATTCTTAGAATTGCAGCACTTGGCAAAGTGGCTTTTCTTGTTACAGTTCCTGCAAGTTACACTTCGGGCTGGACAACTTTGCTTGTGGTTTGTTGAAAACCTGTTGCCACAGAAATAACACGATTTCGATTTCTCGTTGAACCCCTTTTGCTTACCATTCTGTGCCCGACTAATCCTGTCAGAAAGTTTCTTACTCTGGACAGAGAAGGTAGGTTCCTGTTTTATCCGGGAATTCTGACCGAAGCTGGCTCCTGCCTGGGAGGAATTGCCCGTCGACGACGAACTTCCAAGTTGCCTTTGCAAATCGGTGGCCGTTTGTGCTCCTTTTTCTTGGAGTAATGCTGATTTCAGAGAATCCTACGGAGTAGCACCTGGACGAATACACAATTCTCTCTGAATATCCTTATATCTCATTTTGGCAATGAAGATATCTCTTACGACTTCTTTTTCTTGATCAATTGTCCACCCACACAGGGCGGCTTGTCCCGTCAAACGCAAATAAAATGCTTCCAAACTTTCTCGGTCTGAATGTACCGCGTTGTAAATTTGCATACGTTCGATGATGAAGTTTTTCTCCTTTCTGAACAAGAGAACACAGAATTCGTGGAAATCCCGATATGATAATGCGCTCAGATCCGCATGTGGATAACTTTGGAGGAATCTTTTCCTCCCTTCTGAGCCGAGCGAGAAAAATAAACGAGACTTAACACGTTATTCAACTTCGAAATAATACACTCCTGGTGCAACTCTGGGACCTTTCGCCCGGCGCTCTTCATTCATTTCCGTGACTCTGCGGACCGCCGCGTCGTTTCGTGCAATACGATTTGCGATTGCTGCAGCATCTTCATCCGCCCCCACGACTTCTGGTTTTGGAGCAGGATCGTCGTGTACGACACCCGGCGGTTTTAATAATTCGCGTGGATCACATCTCTCTCTCAGAGTGATTGCCAAATTGAATTGACCTATCCACGAATCCCAGCTACAGGGTGAGTCCGCAGTTGGTTTATGCCAAAATACGGATACGCCCAACAGGTCAGTTCGATCCTCTGAAGTCGAAACTGCTGGCTGCGCCATGTGGAATGATAAAAGACAGTTGTTAAACAAGAATCAATTCTTCTTGTTTATGTTTATAGTAATGTAAATAATATAGATAGTTTAGTATTTAGATTATGTCATGACAATGAAATAAATACAACTTAAATCTTTCATAAGTTGCAGAAGAATGAATGAGAACTTATGTGTTAAAACTAGAACGGATTGGCAGGTCGGTCACGACCTTGATAGACAAAGGCGAGTTTAGCACAGATAGCTAGCACAAGAGTAATAACATTATGATCTCTAAACTACGCCGTACCACACTGAGTGCTTTCTAAGTTTTGGTTGGAAATATCTTACAAACTACATATTTTTGAAAAATTTTGTTTCCAGTGTGAGTTTTTAGCTGTAAATTGCAATCGTTTACTAAACAGCCCAGGTTGACAAAAATGCTTTTTATTTATTTTTCATTTATGAAAAAAATGCTTATCATGCTCTTTCATACAATTTCATAGAGCAAAAGGAGATTTTTTATCCCCAAAATTGTATGATAAACATTTTTTCATTACCATGAAATTGTATGGTAACATTTTTCCATACTCTGAAATTGTATGACAAGCATTTTTTTCCATAAATAAAAAAAAACGTTTCGAAATTTTGTGTTTCAACCGGAACACTTACCGAGGGTTTTTTGTCCTAAGAAAACCCAGAGTGTAACAGGCAGTTACCACGCAGATAAACTGCATCTGGTGAATTTAGCCATGAAAGTTATTTTAATTATTTTCCCATAGAACTATATACCAAAAATTGAACTTTTGTATTTAGCTAGATAGTTGTTTTTTTTACAATTTTTTTCCTTAGCAAATGAAACAAAAATTAATAAGTGTGTTTACAAAAAAAACATCTTTTTTGTGATTTTTGAATTTTGTGGGTGAAAAACTTATCCCGGATTATGTCATAAACACATAAGTCTAATTTTGCAGGCAAAATTTATATTTGAGCACAAAAGCAAAATTGCAACCAAAAAGAGATTAAAACTTTTTACATCAAATCTGTGTTTGTCATCAAATCTTATAATTTTCATATATGAAAATTGTGGGATAAGTATTTTTTTATTGAAAATTTTAAATCACTTCTTTAATGACCAGAAAGCTTCAAAAGAGGCGAATAGACCCAGAATGTCCAATAGGATAAGTATTTTTTATCGGAACTTTTGATTCATTTCTTTAATGACCAGAAAGGTTCAAAAGAGGCAAATAGACCCAGAATGTCCAGCTGAGCTCTAAGTGTTGTGCTACCAAACTAGTTGGATGTTCGCAAAGAAATTTTTTTTATCCTTTAGTGCTTGTTGACAAAATAAGCAATTGTCTCAAGTCTTCAAAACAGATTTTGTGTTTTTGTCATGAATTTACGTATTGTCTGCTCTCATGCTTTCAAACTTCAGTTCCTTTCATGATAAAAAGCTTCTAATTTTTTTTTCAGTGTGTCGCAATAGAACAAGACTGCTCGTATCAGGGCAAAGCCCTGAATGTTCCGACTGCCTTTCAAGGTCTATGCGGCAGCAATAGCATGGAAAAATTAAATGCAACAAAATAAAACTGAAACTGCAAAGCAACTTGAGCATTGAAATTTAAAAAATCATCATTGTAAATCAGTTTCTGGGCAAAAATCTAGGTAGCAAATCAAGAAATTGGAAAAAAATCTATTTTTGGTTTCAAGAAAAGGCGATTAAATGTTACAAAAATGTGAATCTAAAAACTTATGAAATGAATCATGAACTGATAATATGTAAGGAAATCATAAAATGTTATTGATATTTTGAAAACAATTTGGTCTGTTTATTAAGTTACTGTACGCTATGGATGTATATTTTAAAACGATGGGCAATAAATAATGCAATGCAAATTCGAAGCTGATGAAAATCGAATAAAAAATCGATTCAAATCGGTTTTTTTTTTCGTTTTAACCCGCCTAAAATAAAAACGATTTAAGACCGGAAAAAGGGGTCTAAAACGATTTAAGATCGATTTTAATCGTTTTTTTTAGCCGGGATTTAAGATCAATTGAAATCGATTTTAATTTGATTCAAATCAATATTCATCTTCTCTACTTCGTCTTCGTATTTTTTCTATAGTAAAATTGATCTAAGTTTAATCTACATAGTTTTTAGAAACACCCCTCTCTCTTACCTCGTCGTAGTCCATGGTGACAGCAGTGAGGATATTGGGACCAGCTGAGCCCACTAACACCTGGTCTGCACTCAGTTTGAAGTACTTCGCATCAGCACCTAATCGCACAATGAAGATAGAAAAGTAAACGACACAATAATTGATGGAAAGTACAAATATACAACTCAAAATAGTGATGAGGAGGGAAGTAATGACACGCACAAAAACAGAAACATTGTGTTTACAATGTGTATGATTTTTCAATACCTTCCCTGAAGCCGTTTTTCTGTCCCTGGGTTTATTAACCATATCCAAACTGTACCTTCGAGCCAGTAGAGTAGGGAACCGGTGACTGCGTCTGGATCCTCCACATCAGCTACCAGTACAGAGTACACTGTGGCCCCAGCTGTGGTCCCGTCATCGATGGTCTGTGTGACCTCATCTTTGGTGAAGTATGGCCTCTCGTCGTCCACGTCCGTGAAGGAGATGTCGAAGGCAGTCAGTGTTGTCGACTCAGTAGTAGTTGGGTCTGTGAGTCTTTCATTTAAAAATAAACCAGCATTCATTTTAAACTTTTTGGGTTCGGATACTTATGGAACCAGCCAAAAATCCAAAAACTTATCAGAGACACCAAATTTATTGTTTGAGAGAGTAATTTAGTTGGGCTTAATTGATTTTTGAGCATATTTCATCTCAATTAACAAGCACCTATAGTCAAGTCCTGCGTACCTACAAGAGAACCTTGGTGATTTGTTGCTGTGATTTGTTTTTATGATTTTGTCATTATGACCTTCGGTATTGATTAGATACCAGTCAACACTTCGCATGATTCGACCATCGGTCGATCACTGCCAGTTGGTGTTAGGTTTAGACTGGAACGTTTGAATTCACACTTCTTTTATTCTTTTGAGTAATTGTACATATACTGAACATAACTACCTAGACTATTAGAACAATTTAAAATGGCGCAATCAAATGAATTGAACGTGCGTGAATTCCCCTCATTCTGGCCGAATCGTTCTTTAGTGCCACCACATTCCTGGACCAGTGGAGCAATCAATTTCAATTGGCGATAATTACTAAAGAACATCTGGACATTGATAGTTTTAACAGACCGGAGGTACCAGAAACGCAAATTACAAGTCTGGAACGACCCACAAGAAGCGAATTGGACACAGACAGAGCCAGTAGAGAAACGAAGAGCAAGAACGCTGTGACAATATAACAAGCCGCCCAAGAAAAGCGGATCAACGAAGAAAAGAAAAATTTCAATGGGTTGAGACGAGCAAATGCCGACAAGAAGCTACGCTCGACTCTGTTTTTAGCACTCGGCAGTGAAAGAAAAAAGGTTTTCGCTCAAAAAACCCTTAGGTAAATATTTTAGCCATTTCAATTACAAAATTTTGGAATCTACTAGACACCGCCCTTGATAAGCCTCCCAATACAACCTTCAAAAGGTACAAATTGTTAAACCGCAAAATAAAGGATCGGGAGTCACTTGAACAATTTCGGGGCGTTCTAACAGACTTGATGAGTATATGTAAAATAAGGGAGACCGATGAAGCCGAATGGATTAGGGATATCTTCATTTGCAAATTGAAGAATACGGAAACCCAACGAAAACTTCTCATTAGTCATCGTTAGCCCTTCAGAAGCCCTAAATCAAGCTCTAAGTGACAAAAAGCTATTTTAACCACCAGAAATTGAAGAACATGGTGAGATCTATGACCAATCCTTCGAATTTTGAAACTTTTAGTGTACATTGTTAGATCAAAAAAGAACCGAGCCTCAACATAGAAAGAAGCAACTCTTGCATGAAATATAGGACTCTTTTACGAAAGGACATCTGAACGTATGACCAGTGAAGGACATCATGTGTAAAAATTGTAACTATAGAGGAAATTTCGCTACACTTTGTAAGTCCCGCAACAAAGGACCATCTGTAAATTTTGTAAAGGATAATCATGTAAATACCAAGAAATGTACTTACATCCCGCCAGAGAATTCCCGCAGCGAAAATCAGAGTAATGCACGTCTGGAATGAGAACGGTCAGAGCTACGATGATGATTTTTTGGCGTTGGGTGTTAGAGCGCGCTTGAAACTCTAGAATATAGGATTGGGATGGAAGATGATTCTAATAATGAGTTTTTCTGTAGATTCGGCGAGCCCAGTCGGCTTTATCAAACAAAATGTCCTTCATGAATCTAAGCTAAGATACACTAACCTGAAAATTTTGTAGCTTCACAGACGAGGTAAAATCAAAATCCTGGAGAAAGTTATCATCAAGACCCAATCCATTGGGTTACTTTGTGAAAAAAGGCCGTTTTCCATCACAGGAGGACATGAACGTAACATAATGGTGAATGATAACCTACCAAAATTAGTTATCGAAGTGAAACAGGAGATATGCTCTCAGCCCACCACCAATTGACATTAAGCAGATTCAACTTTCTGTTTCAACCGACCAAGTTTATAACAACTCTAAAGATTTATGAACGTAACATAATGGGGAATGATAACCTACCAAAATTAGTTATCGAAGTGAAACAGGAGATATGCCCTCAGCCAACCACCAAAAGACATTAAGCAGAATCATTTTTCTTATTCAACCGACCCAGTTTTTAACAACTTTAAAGATTTATTCATTCGAGTGTGGAGAGTTTCGAATGACTGCAAGGTAACACGCTTCAATTCCCCGCTTAAACCAATTCAGGCAAATTTTTTTACACTTACTCGCGGGCGTAAACGAAGAGTTATGAAGAATGGAGACATGTGGTCGCACTATAAAATTTGAAATTTGTGACAAAGATTAATTTATTAGCCCGATTGTAATAACCTAGAAGAAAAACAGCTCGATCAAGTTGGCATTTGATTCTAAATTGCTAAACTCTAGGTTTTTTTTGAAAAAAAGAAACATATCAAATGCCCAAGATTTATGAGTTAATCGACAACGTTGCTATCCAACTTTTGGAAACTGCTACTGTACAGGTCTGGTTTAGTAGCTTGGACTTGAAAACGCCTACAGCTAACTCAATTTGTTTGGAATAATGAGCAAGCAGTGTAACTTCAGCATAGTGAGTGACAAAACAACGAGATCGTATCGGTTTTTAACCGGTTTTGATGGACTGAAGGATTTGCCTAAAGAATTTGAACGAGCCAGGGACTCAATTTTAAAGAATATATCGTGTACTAATAAATATTTTGACGACATCTTGGTTGCGTCGAAGGGATCTTTAGACGAACACAAAGCAATTGTAAATAGAAATCTGATAAATCTAGACAACAACAATATGGCGGTGAAATAGGGAAATGACGCTTTCTTTCAAAAAAATGAATGGATAGGTTTTAATATCTCTAGAGATGGAGTACGACCGTTAGTCGGCAAAACAGACGCTATCAAGAACCTTCCAACCCCCAAAGTTTATCTCTGAATTACAATCCTCCTTCGAATCAATAAGGCAGTATGTAAATTATGTCTCAAACTTATCGACTTTGAGCTCCCCCTTCACTCCCTATTAAACAAGAAAAGGGTCTACAAATGGGATAAAATCCATTTGATATCTTTTGAGAAACTGAAGGCAGAAATTGTAAAATAAGACAGAAAACTGCCATTTTGACATCTAAGATAAAAACGAAACTGAAATTCCACGCTAATCATAAAGGCTTGGGCGCAACTTTAGAACAATTAAAAGGGGGCGGTCGAAAACAAATGCAAACGCCTCAACATTTCTGAACAAGCAGGAAATGAAGTTTTAGGCAAATTAAGTTGAATTGTTGGGTGTAGTGTGGACCTCAGAAAAAATTACCTCTTTGGCGCTGAATTCGAAATCGTGAAAAATCATAACGCCGTAGTTTCGGCCCTTTCAGCCAATCATACTAAGAAAACAATGCATAGCAGACTTAACCTTGAGTAAACAGATTGTTACACTTTAATTTTAAAATTTCACATATACCAGGCAAAGACAGGGGTTTTACCGACCTTTCATCTAGATTACCTTCCGGCAAAACCTTACCACCTTTTAAATTACGACAAAGAATTTGTAGTCGCTTCATTCGACAAATTTTGGAAAATTTTATCTAATGGAGACCACTTTAACAGTGTAAATATAAACTCTGTAAACACAAATACATTCGTTAATAGTAGTATCCCACCAGGAGTTGAAAATTCAAGTAATCTGATTGGTCAAGTTTTTATAAGTAGCTCATTAGCAGAAATCAATCTTGAAAATAATTCCGCTATCATCTCTTCTATTGCTCAATCGATAAAAATTGCAAAATTTCCGATATCAGAGCAGAAAATTGTTCTTCAAAGTGCTTAACTTTAGACAAATCTAAGTTCAATTTAAGAAGCATTTAGGTTCACGGACAAGGTCTTTTCATACCTTATAATGCAAAACGATCTTTCACTTAACCAGAAAAAGAATACCACCGGTACAGATAGTTCGGATAAAATTACCGGCCCATTAGTTATTATTCCGGAAGAGCACAACATATCTTTAAAGTTCAGGGACGAACATCCCTCTGACGATCATGTAAACCTCCTGAAGAGATATAAGACGGATTTGAAGTTACCCAATACCCCTATTTTCTCGGAAGAACACTGTTAAAAAAACTGCTACAGATAGGGACGAAAATTGACAAAATAAAATAGAACTTGATCAACACCAACAGAAACGGACGACCAATGGGTATACGCAGAAGCTACAAAAAGAATTAGAAGAAAAACATCCACGTGAAAATCGACCTACTGTTCTTCGACAACAAATTAGTTGTGCCAGCAGACATTCGGGGAACGTTCAGCTCCATTTTACATGAGACGCATGCAGGCTAATTTGGAATGAAAAATTTAGCTGAATAAGTTTGATGGCCTCATCTTTTCTGCGAGATATATCCTCACGGGAAGCATGTAACCGGTGCCTGAAAGCCCGTAAGAATCTCAAAATTTTACTCGGTACGGAGCATGCGGAAAGCTTACCACGTTTTTGTTCGCCAATGAGGAAATATATTCGGACTTTGCACGACCATTGGACGCTTTTTGGGGACCAAAAATTACATACTTCTCTGCCTTGATTGTTTCACAATGTTTCCGTCGGCGAAAGTAGTAAACAACACCATTTAAATTCAGTCATAAACTTTTTAAACGATTACTGTCATTTTCACAAAAATTCCAGAAAAATAAGATTCGACCATAGAGCTTAATTTTAATCTCACGATTTTAAATCGTTTTGTGAAAAATTCTACATGGAAATCATTTACTATACAGTTGAAGACCATAGATCTGATCGGTTGGTTGAAAGATTTGTATACACTGTCATGTCTAAAACATTGGCCATGTCATTAGAATAAAAAAATCTTCTTTAACTTCTTCGATCGAAAAAGTCATTTGGAACCTCAGAATTACAAAACAACATTCAATCGGTTGAAAACTTTTCGAGAAAACTTTTAATAAAACTGCCGATACAAAACGGAAAAAATTGATTTTTTTGGTAACCGTTTAGATAAAAGAAAGTCTATCTTATCTGACCAACGGGCAAGAAAATGCGATTTGCATGATGGGACAGAAGACGGCCTTTTGGATGCCGACTCTGAGACACAAACTGATTCAGAGGGCAACCTGGCTTTAGTGCTTGCACACCCAACAACTTCCCTGATGGAACCACATAGACCGAGTAAAGTAAGAAGGCAGACCCACGAAGAAACCATCTTCTGTAGCTAAAAATTATAGAAGTGCTGCTAACAGAAAAAACGGGAAACCCTATTTTATAGTGGTAAAAGAAAACGTCATTAATCTTCTAATCACACGAGCACGCTCAATAATGGCCACAGTCTCCGTAAATATGAACTAGCGTTCAAAGAAAAACTGCTTCCCGGCCCCAAGAAAATTGTTGTGAACTCTCCACAAATTGGGTATAACTTAACATTATCTTCGATTTTAGCACGGAAAAGAAAAGTGTCACCACCAAAAAAAACCATCGGGAAAGATCAGACTAAACTAAGGCAGGGATTTTCAAGGTTGGACACATCTGCTCGAACTCACTGGCCGACGACCGATCTGGCAGTGTTGCACGAACCCGCAAAACACCTCAGGTTCCTATTCATCTTTAAATTTAAAGTTATCGGATATATTAATTGAGGATTATTCCGATGAAGTATCGAATAATAACATGGAATTCGGGTCAGGACCTAACCATGAGTTAAGCCTTACAGGTGATGATTGTATACCTCTAACGCCCTCTCACTTTGCTGGACCCGCAGGACACCCCTTAGATTTCAACCCTCCCAAAACTGTGATCAGAGATGGCTCAGAAAATGACCCGATACTTTGAGACAGTACCCCTCAAAAATCCCCTCCTCAGCGGCTTATCAGTCAAGGACCTCCAGACCTCGCAGGATTGGGGGCGCTTCCAAATTCTTTGGCGAAAGAAGATACATCGATAACTGAAGACACGAATACTGAAGTGATCACTTTATAGGACAAACAACATACTTCCCGAAGGGCAAACTTTCCTTTTTAACTCACCTGCAGACATCCTAAAGCTGCTTGTGGATGTACCTTCGAAACTAACTTTGGTTGCCGAAACCACTCTATCTTGGTCTTCGCAAAAGTCTACCCCGTTGGGACGAGCCAGCCAACATCTGCTCTAGTTATACTTGCAAATTCATCCACCAGATCTAAAGTCTCACCTCAACTGACAGCAGATGCCTCATTTTTTGATACAGACGATACCAGCAAAATATCCTTCATAATCGGCTCAGAACTCAAAATTCGTTTAGATGAAATTGATTCTAATTTCAATTGAAAACTATCAGGACTTTATCAATTTTATGTGCTTTTGCATTTTTACAGATTTGATTTTAGTTAAGTTTCATTATTTGTGTATATAGTTTTGTACATAAAAATTGAAAAAATTTGTAGATAAGATTTTTAAAATTAGGTTTCATGTGTGTAAATTCTGTAAATTCATTTTTTGTACGTTTGTACTTTCCAAAATTTCAATTGTAGATTTCATGACTGCTTGCAGTTTTGTTATTTTTTATGGTGCAATTTTCAAGTTTTATTCCTACTTTGAAGAAGGAAGGGGTTGTATGTGGAATTAGTTTTAGTTAATTGTATTTTTGAAAATTTTCCTGTGGGACATGTTGTGATTTGTTTTTGTGATCATATCTTTGTGACCTTCGGTTTTGATTAGATACCAGTCAACATTTCGCATGATTCGACCATCGGTCGATCACTGCCAGTTGGTGTTAGCTTTAAAAGAGAACGTTTTAATTCACACTTCATTTTACTTCTCTTATTCTTCTAAGTAATTGTACATATACTAATCATAACTACCTAAATTTTTAGAACATTTTATTGGTAGCGCATATTTCAACTAAATTAATTAAACTGTCGCCTATAGGCAAGTCCTGTGTAACTACAAAAGAACCTTTCAATTTTTGACGAGATTCAGAAGAAGTTCTGCACCAATATTAGTTCACTTTTTGAACACGCTAATGAAATAAAGAAAATTAAATATTTATGAAATTGTTCTGATGTCACTAATACTTTGTTACTTTTGGCTATTCGATATCAAAAAAAAGTTCTTTTTCATTTTGTTTTGGTAATGAGACCTTATAAAATAAATAGGATGTTTTGTGTGCTTTGGTGTCATGACTCCGTGTCTTAACACTGTAAAAGTTCCTTTGGTAATTGTTCACTCACGTGACTGTGGCACCGTATGTCCTCGTGGTCCCCGTGGGGTCATAGTCCACCTGGGCCACACTGACTATGGAGCAGCCATTGTCCCCCATCACCACATCAAACACAGCAGTACACGAAGGAACACACGTGATGCTAGACATAACACAACAAACACATAAAACATGAATATCTGTTTTACAATCACAAGGTTGCTCGTACAAAAGATCAAAAATTTTCGATCATCACAATGATTTTTTGTTTTTACTGCTAGGACTCCTTTGGTTTCTTCTGTTTAATTTTATGTGCAACGATAAAGGTTTAAACATGATCCATGTCAACCACCATTCACTGAATTTTCCATCTTTCAGCTTCTATTTCATGCTTTCAGAATGAGTTGCTCCTGATTTACAAATTGTATCAAATGGGGGGGGGGGGGGAGGGAGGTGGGTCTCACATGAAAGTGGGGAAGGGGGAGGGGGGTCTCACATGTAGACGGGGGAGGGGTCTCACATGAAAGAAGCACCGAATAACAAACAGAAAGCCACAGTTGCCGATCAGAAACTCGAGAAAAGAGCAAGCAAATCAAAGCTTGCGACAACTCAATCTCAATCGGAGTCTTGGACAGTTTAAAGCTTTGTGGTTTGTCGGAAGTTTTCTGCCATTCAGACCACCTCTCATATGCGATCAAGGTCCCCATCTGTTCTATACAAGAGGAGTATGCATGTATAAAATGTGTGTGACTCACGAGCAGTCGAGAGGGTCGTCCAGTCCGTTGGGGTTGTAGGCAGCCACAGTGTACAGTACAGAGTAGACCCCCGGCTGGGTCTCGTCCTCCGGAATGGACACTGTGGTGGGGGGAGTTATAGGGTTTACAGGGTCGGCTCCTCTTCCTAATTATGAACACACTGGTACACATCGATTTGAAAACTGGGGTTTTTAACGTTGCAAAAGAGATGATGCAAGTTTTCCTCCTTACCTGAAAGCTCTGTTCAATCCGTCTAAATGCTAACTCTTACTATAATTTCAGTTTTTGTTATTGTAAAAAGTTCTATTTGTCTGATCATACTTTTTTGTAACAGTGAAACACGTTGCGAAAAATCATCGAACTCGCATTTTTGGTTTTTGAGATATTCGACTACTACATTTTATTGTTACACTGTATGTGATTGGGATCCTCAAATAAGGTTCTAGAAACCGCAAATTATCGAAAAAGCTCTTTTAGGAAAAAAAAGTCGAGTGGAAAGTTCATAAAGCCGAAAACCCAGAATATATATATCATCGGCACGAAGTGTTTTATTTTCTTTGGTGCTATAGAGATCAATACTTGTATCAGCTCCTAAGCATATGTGTTTTGGGCTGTGGTATCTGATTTTTGCTTTAATTTTCACTTGTTCCAATGGGTCAAAACTAATAAATATCATCCGTAGTATAGCTCATGCGTGGTGGTGGGGTTGGGTTCTAAAGATTAAAGATTGTGTTAGTTGGAGCTCCACTAGTGCACTCACCCGACTGAGGAAGCAGGGCCAGTAGGGCGAGAAGCAGCCACGCCCACTGCATCTCTCTCTTTCCTTTTATGGTCAGTCGGGTCACTCTTTTCAACTGTTTTTGTTCTCTCCCTCTTTTCTCTTTTGATCCAATCAAAGGGCACAGAATATACAGTTAACAGTTGCAATTATTTTAACAGTAACCAATTTTACTAAAAGTGTAATTTTGGTTCGTCTGCTGATTATGTGTTCGCATAGACAAGTTGGTTAATTTTGAATGGTGCAGCTGAAAAAGTAAATCTAATATATCTTCAAAATCAAAACACACGTTTTAACTCTGATAAAAACTAACTGCATAAACAGATATGTTCACACAAAAAACAAAAGTATTTATAAACAAATAAAATGTTCATTTCATTAAACTTAGTTAGTCGCTGACGTCAAAGTGTTTGGCAGTGTTCTCCTGGCTTCTGGCAACATATTCAAATTTTGAGCTCTAGACCTTCTCAAAGTGACATGTAATTGTTTTCAATTGAGATGCAAAGAATGTAACTGGAGATCTTCGTCATTCATTAAATTACTCGTCGAGTTCGCATATATACATGGTCCAGTAATATCGCCTTCAAAGATTACTTACAATTTTTTCTTAGATTGTTACCAAACCAGTAAAATCATGCCCAGCAATTCTAAACATAGAGAGCCATGCACAATGTTCAATGGTGTTTTTAATTATGTGTCATCTACGACGCCCTTCTGCATTGTTTTATCAGAGACCTAAGCACTTGCAAGTACGATTTTAAGAAGAATCAACGCCTACCTGGTATTGCCCAAATTGAAGTGATCAAGTTACCTTTCAAAAAAAGGTCAATCAAAAGTCCAGTTTTCGAGCAAAAATAGAAGTAGCAACCAAAAATTAACGCAAACCAAAGCCGCTGTAGAAGTCACCGAGGTGAGTTAGGACCGATGGGTATAACTCATAGAGTAATTTCGGATAGGGTACACCGTCTGCTCGTCACGCTATCTTATTTTCGGCCGGATAGATTCGTGCAACTTCTTAGTCTAATACCAATCCTAATCTTACTCTTATACTATCTAGTCTCAGGTTGTTTAACTAGTCTCTGCTAGGCTCAATAGATCTAGGGTATACTGGTTTATTGCGGCTGCTGAAGTACTCGGGAGAGTTCAACTAATTTCTAAGTTAAATTCAAATCTCTCTGGTGCTGAAATTACAAGTAATTTCAGCACTTACAAATAAGTGGATTGTTAGTCAGATGGATCATGATTGGTTAATATTAAATACTTTACATTGGTAAAATATCTAATTTA